TACACAAATAACGCATCCACTGATTCGAAAGATATCTACAGGGTGATTATTACCCTCCACGAACAATAAAATGACTAGATTAGATTAGATTAGATTTGGAATGGGGCCTTCGGGCTATCTGCCTCCACACTGCGACCTTTTCAGATCTATTGTGTCTGCCCTCAAAATCGATTAGAGTTCTTCGGCTAGCCCCGCCTTCTCTATGAAACTCCATAGGCTAGCTTTCAGATCTCCTGTGTATCTCTGGGCTCCTGGTTTTTCCTCACCCAGCGTAAGGAACCTTAGTCTTGACAAGCTTTCACAGTGGCAAAGTATGTGTACTGCTGTTTCTTCCTCTTCTTGACAGAACCTGCACGGCAGTTCTTCAGTCAGACCTATCGTACTCATGTGTTTGTTGAGCCTACAATGCCCTGTGAGAAGTCCCACTAGTATTCTAGTTGAACTTCGTGTCTGGCTTAGTAGATATTCGGTGAATGTTGGCGATGGTTTTTTAATAAACTCTTTTGCCTGTCTCTTTCCTGGCGAGTTGTTCCACCATTCTTGAGATTTGGTTTGCATCCATGATTTGATACTAGTCTTTTGTATAGCTTTCGCAATACCACAGAAGGGTTCTGGGCCATTAAGAGCTTTATTTGCTCCTGCTCGGGCAAGTGAGTCTGCCTCTTCATTGCCATCGTACCCTGTATGTGCTGGTACCCATGCTAGAGTCAAAATGTTCTGACTGCCCAGTGCATTTAGGGTTTCTAAGTAGTCCCATACTAGTTTTGAGTTAACTTGCATAAAGTTGACTGCTTTGATTGCCGCCTAGCTATCTGAATAGATTGCAATGGTTTTGCCTTTAAACTCTTGCAAAACCATATAAAATGAATGACTCTAGACCTAGAAATAAAATACTTTCTCCATTGAGCTCTAAAACATTGAAAATGTAAGTCTACTTTCATTACTGAAATTTGTGCATTGCAAAGTAATTATTTACAAATAATTCATTCGTCTGCCAAGTGGGGAAAATTTGCAAATAAATAATTGCTGATCTGAGGTATCTTATTAATTTAAAAAATATATATCTTGTTGGGACATGGCTTGGCTTCGAACTCCTGGGATGAAAATAAGTTGATTCTCAACTTCGTTGAGTTGTTACAAGGCGTTAAAGTGCTCACCTTAGGTACTGAATAGTTATCGCTAAATTTGTAACGCGAGAGTTCTTGTAAAGCCCGCGAGGACCAGCAACATATCAGTTTGTTTACAATAAGAATACATTGAAGCCATGATCAATACACAGTCTGACTAATTAATAATTAACTTATTTGCAAATGAATCTCGAGACTCATCAAAAATTAACACGATACAAAAAATATTTCTGAAGGGAATATCTTTCTGGAAAAAAAACTGGGAGTTTCCAGTCCGACCTTTGAGAAGTTGTCACCAAATTTGTACGGCAACATGGTTGTTTGAAACACTTGCAGGTCACTGATGATGAACAAAAACATCTCATAACGTGACTTACAGTTACAGAACATGTCATGCCAAAACTCTTTTTATGAGCAGAGTTATTTTTTACCAAAAAAACTTCAACGCCTTGGACCAACTCAACGAGACAATTTTGGATATAGGTAAGTTGGCCTAAATAAACTTATTTTCATCCCAGGAGTCCACAGCCGAGCCATGTCCCAACCTTTTACAGACACCCTGTATATATCGGAAATAAAACTGTTGCAGAAGCATCAACCGATTAGGCATCAGATAGGGAGGTATACCTGTTCCTGTTTTATCTGATCATAGCGATAAAAAAGATGTATGATTCGGATAGGGATCCTACTCATTTTATGCCTGATAATTGATAAACGAATATGTTGGCCTCTTGTATTCCCTAAATTGTATAAAATGTGGCAAATTGGAAATAACAATCGTTCTGTTTTTGGAGATTCCTCAGGAATTGATAGTTTGACTGAAATTAAATTGATTCAGTCCTTTACGGAAGCACTGTAATACTTCAGTAGTGAAATAATATAGTTGACTATTTCAGAATCAATCAACAAAAAGCACGTAACTTGAAATAATTCGTTTTCATTCTGTTCAGTCATTCCACAAAAGTGAATTAAGTCATGAAACGTTTTGAATTGAGAACTATAGACTCCTGATACATATCGGATATTCACAACATCAGCAATAACTTTGACCATTGAGTTTGACATAACATGGGATTTTTCGTCGATTCTGAAAAATACGCTATTTGACTTGGTGCAGTGCAGTGTTGTTTTGGGCGTGCTATATACTCTTGAAATATCTATTCTACACAAAATTAATGTGTGTAGGGCCTATATAGGGTGGCTCACTATTGCTATCTCTGAAACGGTTATAGAGAAGAAAGTTGCACATTCCGGATGACAAGGATTATGTGAAGAAATCAAATATCAAAACTACACAAACTTTTTTATACGTTATTCGATCTAGTAATATCAGATTTTCGATATAATATTTAGTTCATCTAGGGCCACCTTCAACTTGTCAGAGACTGTCCAGAGATAGCAATAGTGCGACAACTAAATGCGGGCCACCCTGTATGGCTATCCAAAACCGCCCAAAACATCGTGGTCATTATCGGTTGGCTGACTAGTTATCACATTGATATGACGTATATTATTGCATTGATGATAGATATTTATATGTCACTTCCTCGATAATTATGTTATCTAACCTATACAATATAATGTGTTACTATTTGGTCCACTCCTCCCCAGAAATTTATTTATTTATTTATTCAATAATACATCCAGCAGGCCTACGCCCATTTACAGGTGTACGTATATAATACAAACAATTGATAAATTAAGAGTCGCTGATATAGAATGAGAGGTGATATGTCTGGTACCCACCATGATTTATGCTCGGTATTGTTTTAAGCAATACTCATCCATGGGCATGGGCGCCGCCAGGAAAAAATACAGGGAGGGGGCGAATAGGACAAAATGTTGAAAACATTCGTGAATCATGAGTTACGACTAGAACCACGAATTATTCATTCATTTATTTATTTCTTTATTCAATAATACATCCAGCAGGCTTACGCCCATTCACAGGTGTACGTATAATACAAATTATTGATGAATTAGGAATCGCTAATATCAAACAAGAATTAGTAATACTAACATCGATTATAAAAGAAACATGATTAATTTGATGAAACACTGAATAGTTGGCGCTTGAATTGAGATAATGAGAGAAAAAATATGTCAATACATTGCAAGTTATTATAACTTCGACACATTGTTCTAAGAGGACAATGAAAATGATGTTGAGAGTTAGGTACAACTATGTGAAATGTTAAATTAGATCTCGACACCGAACGAGGTACATAAAAATCAATCATTGAAAGTAAAGAGGATGAATCAATATGATTATGAATAATATTGTATATAAAAGTTGAATCAACAATCTCACGATGTTTCCTTATAGAGAAATTAAATTGAATTCGTTCAGTAATGAGTCATAGCTATGCTATCTCACAGGATATGTTCCATGGTTTTTAAAAAACGAGAATTTCAAAAACTTACTTTGCACAGTTTCTATTATCTCTTTATATTTGTAATGACAGGGATTCCACAGTACACTGCAGTAATCCAATTTACTCCTCACCAAGGAAACGTAGACAGAGCGTAGAACATCAAATGATTTGAATTCCTCACAGGAACGGATCAAGAATCCTGAAGACTTCATAGCTTCATTTATAATAATTTCGATGTGATTGGAAAAAGTCAACATTTGATCAAACGTTACTCCTAGATCCTTGAATTGGTTACCTCGTGATAGATGTGTAGTATTCAGATAATAGTCAAATGAAATTTGTTGTATTAGGCTTTGTGATGGGTTATATCAAACAAGTGGGGTGTTTCAATGATATTGAAAAAACAGCATTCAAATATCTGAAAGAGAAAATAAAATTGAAGGAACAAAAAAAATTATTGTTTCACATTCGAATCCTGGGTGGAGAGAATAATATATAATACTCTGAAAAATAAAAAAATGAACATTAATGAGATCTGTCACAGTTTTAGTTATTCAACATATTGAATCGGGTCACCACTGAAGTATGAATTATCCTGCACACTATTGGTTCAGAAACAATGATATGAATGTAACTGAATTTAACTTGTAACCTAATAATATGTCAGTTACAGGGGGGAAAGAACATTTTTTTGTGTATAATTTCTCAAAAAACTATAACGGTTATGATATTTGGATTAATGGAAATAATGTTTACAAGAAATTTCGTCACACATCCTTTCTTAGAATGAACCTGTTTTCTCTCAATTCATTGAAACTAGTTTCTGGTTTCTCCAAGATCTCAGATTTTTATTTGTTATATTAGATATCTGAGTTTCCGAATCATCATAGTGAATCGAAAGTTAAGATAGGGACATGCTAGCCGTTTTGATCGATAATGAATAGTTTCGACACAAAAAAATCCTATAATTGAAAAATCTCGATTTTGAACAACCTATATCTCTTTAATCATTCCTGATAGATCCCAAATGAGATGCATTGATGAAATTAGCTCTTCAGTAAGAATCTAAAAATGCAATAAAATACAGGGTGTTCCATTTGAAATAACGAAGTTGGGGGAAGTGCCACAATCTTCAAAATATTTTAGCCGGATAGCACTTATCAACAATAGTGAACTACCAAATGCGGCCAATCTATGGTTTTCTATATATTGATCGATGCAGTTCCCGGAGGGACACATTGTATATCTATCTAAAGATCATGAGTAACAAAGTAGATCATTATCACCAACAGCCATCATTTGTAACTACTATGCCGCATCTTGCTACAGAGTATTATATGATATGCCTACATGAGTGGAGATAGGTTCATCAGTCCTATTTTCAATTTAAATGCCAACAAAAATTCCTCCTACACCGAGTTTAAGTTCGGAGTATATTCACTGAGATGAATGTTTCTGATTTTGCTGCCGATTATGTTATATTTCAATTTCTGTGCAGATTGGGTGATAGAAGACGAAGGCTGCAGAACCCCAGACAGAGGTGTCGGCGACTGCAGACCCATAATGCAGTGCGAACCAATCACCAACTTCATGAGGTCAGCAAAGAGGCCTCTGAGTCAGGAAGTGATCAGGTATCTGAACTCTTATACGTGCAGCTACGAGTCGAACCAGGTGTGGGTCTGCTGTCCGTCTGAGCCAATATCATTCGAAGGAGAAGGAGGCTCTAATTCGGCAAACGATGATCCTCCGGATGTGAGTCAACACAGGAATTATCATTTGCTGCCAGAAGACTGCGGGTACCTGGATCCAGGAGACAGAATTAGGGGCGGTGCCAATGCCAGACTGAATGAGTTTCCTTGGATGGCACTGTTATCATACCGAACAAGTAAGCAGGACTCATGGAAATTTCACCATGAATTTTAATACACCGTTTATTTTCTGACAACCAAGTCTTTCCTCTAAGATTGTTTGAAAATTGAAATCCTATATTATACTTGATAAATAAAAATTTTAGTAATATGCAGAACAATGGTGAATAAACACGGTGAATGGCATTGCTCCTTCAATGAAATTGAAAATCTGAATTGATAGAAGAAGTTGATTCGTCAGTGTTATTAGTGGAGAACATATTATATATACTTGGGGTGAGAATGCTATCATATAGCTCGCACATTCTAACCTTCGGCACTTCGCGCCTCTTGATTTAAAAGCGCTTGCTATATAATAGCTCACTTCTCACCCTAGGTGTATAATATACTATTATCGCGTCCAGACTGAAAAGACTGAATTCCAGGGGGGAAGGGGGCCCTCAAGTGGGGATGCCCATGTGCGTACGCCGTTATACAGGGTGGAGACATTACCTGGAATGAATTCGCTACTGGGGAGGTGAATGATTTTCTGAATATTCGCGAGGAACGTCGACATTTAAATGTATTATGTTACCTACAGTATTTTCAATGAATTTCCACTTGTAATACCACTATGGAGGTTAATAGATTTCCTTAAAATATTTCAACATCGTGTATATATATAACATATGAGAAAATTCACATCACATAATTCTAGAAATTATTTATCCATTTGATTTCTATCAACGTTCATGAACAAATTAAGTTTGCGTCGCAGTTTCAGCTCCAATAGATACCTAGCTTACAAATTCTTGATTACTACCTATAAACTTCATACCTATCATTAATTTTCAAAAACTATCAATAGGCGTTGTGGATTTTTATTGGGCTATAGGAACGCTATATTATGGTGTTGAGGTTACAGGTTGAAAAAATAGAAAAAGTTGTATAAATCCATTTTTGTTTCAGGAAGAGGTCCTGATTTCAAATGCGGTGGTACAATCATAAATGAAAGATATATTCTGACAGCAGGCCACTGTTTACACAACTTGAAAAATCCATTGTGAGTATTTATATTGGTATGCTGAAAGACTTCGGTCGATAGCCTTTTGCATGGATAATTCCCCAAAGAATAATCCTTGTTCCCCTCTAATATAGTATAGGTACAATATTTGGACAACAGATTCTGATGGGAATGATTTACCCATGCGTCACGGAACAAAAACTTCAATGTCTTAGACTACAGATTTTTTTTGTGACTGAATGAATGAGAATATAGATATCATACCCGACATAATCTAGAAACTCATAAAATATAAAAACATGACATAAAAAGTTATGAAGCTCTGGTTCAGGCAGATCTACTCTTTACAGACAAAATACGAAAAAAATTCAATAAAATATCTACCAAGGTATAGAGAAGATATGAAATCCTGAGTGTAGGCGCAGTTGCAGTACAACGTTTATAATACTTTTTATGTGTTCATATAGTAGGCTGATTTGAAGAAAATAATTACTGTTGACGCTGACCTGCCTTCATATTTCAGATTGGGGGTGAGAGTTGGAGAGCACAATATACAAACAAAATCTGATTGTGAACTCACTAGGAACAATAAACAAAAATGCAATGCACCCGTACAAGATTTAGCCATCGAGGAGATCCTGGTGCATCCTGGATTCAACGAAACTGTGATTCAGAACGATATTGGATTGCTGCGAGTATCTAAAATGAACTTGAATGTAGGTAAGTTATCATTCCTGAAGTCATTCGGTGAAAGTGAGTGACTCGTGACAACATATCTTCCGATTGAATAGAAAATAAGGGCATTTTCATTTTCTCAACTAATCCGAGGGTTTTTGCAATACAGAACAACTAAACATGCAGGAGTAATTCGATACGATATGAGAATGCGATAGGATACCAATCAAAATACTATAATTAGTTTATATTTTACAGCAAATGTTAGACCAGTTTGCCTACCAGTAGATACTGCAAGAGGTGCGGACTTGAATGGAAAGAGAATTATAGTCACTGGTTGGGGTACCGATGAAACAGGTAATGCTTTCTACTAATCAATATTGAAGAAACTCTTGATTGATTGATTGATTGTCTTTATTACCCCAAGAAACATTTCTGTTTATGATAGGGATACATAAATACATATGAAAAAAAAAATAAAGGGTTCACTATAATGAATTCCACTCAGTGGAAACGAATTAATATTGTGTCTTATAAGATTAAAGTTATATTTCATTCCTAAGTAATCAAATCATGCCATATATTTTTCATTCAAATTGTCCTCAGCAAGTATTTTTTAAGATTGATTTTAAACCTTCTTGCATCATGTACATTTTTCAACTCATTCGGTAATGAATTGTATAAAATTATTCCATTGTGAAAAACAGATTGTTTGCCAATGTTTGACTTGAATGTGTTTGCTACAAGTAATTCAATTGTCTAGTCCCATAATTATGGACTGTATTGACTTCATTGAAAGCTAAATTTGGTCAGGTTCAGAAAATGTCTTGGTTGGAAAATGCACTTAATTGATTTGTTTTGTAATTTCATTAGTGGTTTCAGACGTGAAATATTTGTACTCCCCCAAATAGAAATTGAATATTGCAAATTTGAATAAATGAGGCAAAAGTAAATACATTTCAAGTATTTTATGGGAATAATATTTCGGATTTTGAATAAAATGTCTATGATCGGATTTATTTTATTTCTCAAATGGTCTATATGTTTAGTCCATAATAATTTTTCATATTATTCATAAATAGATTCTCAAGTTCTGAAGTTAATTTTGTATCTCACACAAAATCGTTCCATGAAAGTGGATACGAAATCACCGACTCTCATTGAGTTTCGATGTCATTTCGAGAAAAAAAAATTAGTAGAATTAACTCCAATGATTCTGGGCGGTATTATAAAACAACTGAATTTGTCAAACAGTCACTGGTTCCTGTAGCTGACCGGGCTGTGTCATGTCGTGGTGCAAGTTTTCAACGGTAGTTCCATATCCTCCGACCTGGAGAATCGCTATTCTTCACTACTGATCAATAATAGAGTTTTTCCACCACTAGCTATACAATCTACCATTATTCACTTCTTTTCGAGGAGTACAGTGTGTTTTCACTGTGGAGGTAGTTTTCGACTTTATTTGAACCATTGGTCAATGAAGACACCCATAAGAACGTTTCTGTAGGACCAAAATTAACTGAGATAGCTATTGAGTGAAATATAGATCCCCTGTACATATAGCTTTATACCAGCAACAGTTATCACTTCATCATTTTCAAATAAAAATATTTCGAAAACAGTACACGGTATCGAGTTATACCCAGTTGTGAAATTGAATGATTCTCAAGTTCACAATAAATTTGGATTGAAAAACTGACCAAAAAAAGGACCCCGCACTTTTTCTATACCTATAAAAATGGCGTTTTGTCGAATTTCCTGAATTTGTGGTATATTATAGAACCTAATGATCAAACATGCCGAGTTCCAATCCGATCCTATGACCAGTTTTTGAGATACAGGGTGTTGAATTTGAGGAATGCCTCCTTTTCATCTACCCATATCTCCAAGAAAAGACAAATGAATCAGAATTTTCTGCTAGCAGTTTTTCGGTTTAACCTTTAGGTAGAACAACCATCATGTACAGAATCAACTAAAGCTGATCTTTATCACAGGGTGATTCACATCTGAATTATTGTGTAATTTTCAATTTCTGAACATCGATACTACAACTTGATTGAAATTGAAAAATCTAAATTATCATTCGATATGTTCTTTATTATTAAAAAATGAATTTCATTTAAACTATGTCACATTTGTGACTTGTCTCTTACAAATTTCATCCACATGGATGCATTTCCCCAGAAATAATTCCATGACATGTGTTACTTCTTATAAATTACCTGAGAAAAGGTAGTTTTCCTTGGGTTTTGTCAATGAATGAAACATTTTTAGATGCTGCTGGCAGATTTAAAAACTACTACACAAAGATAAACAATTTTAAGAAAAAGTTGCCCATTTAATACAGATCAATTTTTTTCAAATTGTTAGCGTTTTTCAAACAAAGATAATTGACTTTCGAAACATCGACGATTTTATAACCACATAATTTAACGTCCATGATACCGTTAGTTTGATTGCAAATGATCCTATCAACCACCCCACTCCTTGTGATCCATGACTTATTGGACATTATCTATTGATCGATGAATAGTTAGTTCAGTTACTTTACAATTATCGATAATCGATATTTCAATTTCGTTATCGATGACCCCTAACTAATGCCCCGATCTTTCAAGGCCACGCGAGTATGATCCTGCAAAAAGTGGAGCTGCCCATCGTCAGTCTGGCGGAGTGCCAGAAAATCTACAAGGCGGAACAGCGGGCCAAAATCAGCAGGAAGCAATTGTGCGCGGGCGGCAGAGACAGGAAGGACTCCTGCCCGGGCGACAGCGGGGGGCCGATGCACACCGCCGCCTACGTCAACGGGGACACCCGGTATGTTCAACAGGGCATTGTGTCCTTCGGGCCGGCCTTCTGCGGCCTGGATGGCTACCCAGGAGTGTACACCAGAGTGGAGTATTACATGGACTGGATCCTGGACGCGATGAAGCCCTAGATAGGGATTCAGATGGAATTTCACAAAGGGCACGCCGACAGACATTGCGTTGAGTTGAGCAATAGTTATTTATGTAACGAGTGCGTGAAGTGGTACTTTTTTGTCTTAGGAAATGTTGACGCACGACACCAAAGTCAGCCGCCTTGATATGTTCGCTAGCTGCCTTGCGGAATCCAGTAAAGGAGCCCATATACTGCGTTATTGGTGGGCTGTTTTGTTCGAACAAAAATGACACAATACCGAAGTGTGTGATGTTTGGCTAGCGAAAACAACCATTTTGCACACACACTACACTATACACACTTCGGTTTTGCGCCATTTTTGTCATTCGAACAAAACAGCTTTCCGTAAAATGTTAAAACAGTATTTTGAAATTGGAAAATTGTACATTTCAGGCACACAGAGTATATCGAAAAAGTGCAGTTTTTTTTGCAGTTGTTGGAAAGTGACAATTCGAAATTCGGTTGAATTTGAGTTCATGGTAGTGAACAAATCAATAGGTAATACGTATGTTATAAAATTACATACCAGGTGACAATCAACTCATTGGTCAGGGCGACAATCAGTTGTTTTTTATGTTAGACTTTCGAGATTCGGAACGGAGATATAGTTCCTTGAAACCCATATTTTTCATGACAAAACAATTGACTATCACTTTCACTTTTGGTTTTACCGGAAATAGGCCTAGGTGGAGCATTTTCGATGGAACCCTGTGGATATTTTCAAGTCATTCGATAGAGCGAAAAATTGTCTTCAATGACATATCACAAGTTGACGTCTATTTTCAAAAAATGGCGTTGCAGAAGACATCATATATCAAATTTTCGTCAAGCATCTAATAAAATATCATATGATTATAAACGAATCACTGAGTTTTTGATGATATCTGCGATATTTTTCATTCATCGCCAATCATGATTCAATTTATTAGTAATTCTTCTTTCGATGAAAATCGAAGTATCTATGAGTCAATATCAACAGATGAACGTTTGCCTATAATTTTCTTTCTGAGGGTTTCCGAAAAAGTGTTCGTGCATTCATCGTATGCGTCCTCTACACATTGTGTGAAGTACAACTTCGCAGCTGTACCTAACCCATATAACAACGGCAACTTCCGAATTTGACAGTCTCAAACTACGAGTATAATCAGTGTCAGATCATGGTCAGATCATATTTTCGGTTTGTCAAGAACTGTCGAAATATTTTGCATTCATTCAAAATGTCATTTCAACTATTCAGTTCAATGATATTGACGCTTGCACGAAAAATAGTGAGTATATGGCCGCGAAACTTTCTGGCGACCTCAAGATCTTGCCTTGGCCGGTACGCTAAAAAGTAATTTCACGGCCTAGGCATAGAAATTACTATTTTTAGTAGACGTAGATATTTATTCAGGTGTAATGAAAGAGACAACAATGATTGATCAATTGAAGATAAATGCAAGTCTCCTAGTCTGTCAAGCATTCAACTGTATATACTTCAACGTTGACTAAAAAAGTACCATTTCCTATATTTGCAATTTCGAAGCATACTCAAGAGGAAGCATGGCATTCGAGAGTATGACTGGAAGAAATTCTGGTTGGCGCTGAGTCAAAATTTTCGCATGTTTCATTAGCAATAATTCTATAGATGGTGTCACAAAGTGTCAATATATTGATTTCTGAAAAAATATCCCCTGCGTCGACATATGTCTCCGGAAGTGGAAAATTCTTGACTTGGGTCTGTTTTTTCATGGAAAATATATGAGTTTCGAGGAACTTTATCTTCGAACCAAACGTCAAAAGTATAACATAAAACACAACTGAATTACGCCCTGGCTAACGATTTCGTTCTAACCCTGTATATATCGAAACATATTGAGTTTCATATTTTTGGTGTCAGTCGAAAATAAAGAACTTGCCAATAGAATGATCTCAAACTTTCTGGAAATTATCAAATTTTCAGATCTCACCTCGAGTAGGGGATAATTTCGAAACGTTATAAATGTTGCACTCAACGAACTGAGCAATCAGAATCTCCATAGAAATCAGACATTGCTTGACCATATACAAAGTTATGACAGTTCGAAACTTGACGAAGTTGCCACTTATCTCACTCCAAAAGTGGAGCATGATGACTTTTCACGATGAGCGTTGATTATACGCTAGCTCAACATGATCTACCCGCCTAAAATATTTTAGAGGATATGTGGAGTTGCCGCTTTTACTCGAAAGTAGCAGCAACTATTCAAATAGACCCTGTTTATGATATTGTATTATTTTTCACCCATATCTCAAAAACTCCATGTAGTATTTCCCTACCTGTATCTATGTGTTACCGTTCAGGATATAAAAATTGATTCCGATTTTTTTTATAAACCATGTACTTGAAAGAACGCTGATTATTCTGAACTCTCTAGTCTCTATCTATATACAGTGTGTTTCACTTCTAATGGAAACACTCCTGTATCTTACGTATTGGTTGGCTAAGGATCCTGAAATTTGCTTGGGCAGGAGGTCTACCAAAAATGTACTCTATGGCCAATTGGGGTCATCTCCAGTGATACACACTGCTCGCCAACAGCCATGGAACCACCCCAATTTCCGTAAAATGATATTAGGAGTCGAAATAGATTGAAAATCACTTCGGATTCGGAATCAGAGCGCCCAATACACTAACTAGCCATACTTATCGTGGAAAATTTTCAGTTCTGAATATTCCATTTTTGTCTCACTTTTCATGAAAACACCTCCGTATCTTACGTAATCGTTGGGTAAGGATCCTGAAATTTGCTGAAGCGAGAGATATACCAAAAAATTTATTCCATGACCAAGTGGGATAATCTCTAGTGATGTATACTGCTCGCCGACAGCCCGGAAAATGATATTAGGAGGCAAAGTAGGTTGAAAATGACTTGGGATTCGGAATCAGGACGCCCAATTCACTAACCATTTATATTCTTCTTCAGAAAAATCTCAGTTCTGGAAATTTCATTTATGTCCCCGTACATTACGTAATTATCGAGTTAGGATTGTTAAATTTCCAGGAGCAAGAAATATTCCAAAGATACAGTCAATGACCGATTGGTATTACCATCATCATCCATCACTTCGGATTCGAGAACAAAAAACAATGTCTAATTTACTAACTACTTCATATTCCTTCTGAAAAATTTTCAGTTCTGATCAGATACCAATGACCAAGTAGGATATCACTTACATTCCAGGAGGAAACATTTATTAAATCGTAAAATTCACTAGATGATTGTTCTGAAATTGATAATCATAAAGTCAGTTCTCATCGGGGATGATGAAATACCACTAAAAACTAGTACAATCGAATAAATTATCAGAAGTGATCTGATAATAGTATGAAGAAAATCGTTACCAATAAAAATGCGTCAAAATATGGGAAGTTACTAAATTGGACGTCATGTTTTCGAATCCAAAGTGATTTTCTTGTCTCTTGATATTATTTTCCGGACATGTATGTGTAGTTCCACGGCTGTTGGCGAACAGTGTATATCAATGAAGATGACTCCACTTGATCATAAAGTACATTTTTGGTAAATCTCTCGCTCGAGCAAATTTCAGGTTCCTAACCCAACGATTACGTAATATACTGGTCTGTTTCCATGAACAGTGAGACAAAAATAAAAGTATTCAGGAAAAATACGAATAGTTAGTGAGTTGGGCGTCCTGATCCCAAATCCGAAGTGATTTTCAACCTTTTTTTACTCCCAATATCATTTTACAGAAATTGGGGTGGTTCCATGGCTATTGGCGAGCAGTGTAAATCACTGAAGATGACCCCACTTGGTCATAGAGTGCATTTTTGGTATATCTCCCGCTCCAGCAAATTTCAGGATCCTTACCCAATGGTTACGTAAGATACAGAGGGGTGTTTCCATTTGAAGTGAGACACACTGTATAAGTGTATAGTGCTTCGACGACAACTTTTGTAATGAAGTGGAGTGGTATCATGAGAATCCTTACTTCAATCAGATTCATTATTAACAACATATACAAGGTGGTTAGAAAATGCAGATACCCACTTTGCCTTCATGAATAAATGGATAAAAGTCTAGTTTTTCGAATCGAACACTCTGTATAAGAATGCTCTTTCGATAGAAGGTTCCATTTAACCAACAGTTTTGTAGTTATCGATTTATCACATTGAACTTCCGCTTCGGAAGTTGTGGTCTTGTGATCATATTCCGGTATGTTCTACCTATAACTTGCAAATCTATTGCACTCACCATGAATCATGAATTTGTTTCTGATAATGATCATTATCTTTGAGTTTCTTATAAATGACTCAAGTATAATTGTTGAGACACTGCCTGCTACCATCAGAATTCTTTTCTGATTTGAAGTTACATTTTTAATAAATATAAATACATGAAAAAATGAATTGAAGTGTATGTGTATCCTATATAATATATGTATGGTTAAATGCCCAGCATTGGCCTTTTTGAAGATTGAGTAAACAAATTTGTTGTCTTTCTCGGCAACATCAAAGTCAATAATACGATTAGGGCCCAATACTGCTTTGCTTCACTGGCAAAGTGTCTGCATGTATGTAGAAGTCCAACAGATTTTTGCCGGTGAAGTAATTCTCCCAGCAATGAAAGCATTGGGCCACTATAACTTCACGGTTTTTCATTTTTCGTTGGGACTAGAGTGGTCAAGATTATCAGCGTATATTGAAGTACAAAAAAATCAATTTTCATATCCTAAACGATAACAGATAGGTATATATGAAAATACTGCATGAATTTCTTGTAAACAACACGCCTATAGGTCGAAATACATACCATATTTTATGCACGATTGTATTAAACATTTATTTACTGATATGAAATGATATTATATACTGGGTGTTCCATTTGAGAAATCAGGATTGTTCCGTAAACCATGGATCATACTGTAAATGGTATGAACAAGTTTTTCTAGGGACGTCCCTATTGGGTACAATTCAAGTCCGAATGTCCTGGACCTAAAATAATTGTTCTTGGGACATTCCATCCCGTAAATCTCATGAAATGTCCGGGCAAGAACGCATATGGGATTTC